CTTAAAAGTACACGCACATTCCATCCTCGATCCTCGCAATACAGTACACCATCCGTGAAAAAGTGTAGATCGAGAGCAAAGTACAGCAATTACGGTCGGTCGAAGGAAGTTTTTATTTTCATGTCCGCTCGTAAAATAAACGGTCTTGCAGTACATACACGTGCCCCCGAAAGAATTTCCCGTCCAGGCCTCTACGTCTTGCTCTCTCCGCGCTTGACACCCACGAGTATTTATAACCACCGCGGCGCCGCTCTTTCCGACCCCTTGGCTCCTTTTCTTCCTCTCAATTTTTTTTACGACCCGCCCCATCTGATGCCCCGAGACCCATAACCGTCCTCGCAAAGGCCGCGATAATTTCCCCACAGTTTGCGACCATTTGCATTTCACACCGGTGCGTCTACCGCGGGATACACACACATACACACACACACACACACACACACACTCCGCTAACCCATTTTTCCGGCTAATAAAGAATACCGGCTACAGTGTGCGTACGAGTAGGATCCTCCATTGTGCGAAAATCCTCGGGCTCGTATGATACCGCCAGAAAACCCCATTTTTCTCGTATCAAAAGGCTGGCACACATCTTTTGATTTGGCCATATTCTTGTACCCCCAAGTCGTATCCTATCGACATTCCCCCCAGCCCCTACTTTCTCGTCCTTAGCATACCGGCTCTCTTCGTTTTTTTCCCTCCTCCCCTACACTCCCTCTCAGTGAATTTCGAAAGCGTTTATTTCCATCTCCACGTTAGCTTCCGTATTTCACATATTGTCCGGTTCAACGTGAGTGGATTTTTCCATAATTTTCTGATTTTACTCCTGTGGCTTTTTTCATGCCACGTCACTTTACAGCCCTAACTCTTGGCGATGCACTAACAAGTCGCATTAAAACGGCCTCTTGTTTTGGTGTGCTGTTTTCATAAGTTTGTTACATCAACAGGACGACGACGAACGCGTGTTCCCAGAAAACAACAACCTCCAAGCAACAAAGGTCACAGAGATCTTGGGGCTATTTGGTCGCAAAATCCATTAAATCGGCCCGTCTCCTTTGAAATCTCGGTGTGCGTCAAAACATGCGTGGGGGGTACATATGTATATGAGGAGCGGGAAGAGGGGGTCGCGCGAAGCGAGAAGAGGAAAAACGATTTCGATCTCGGCCCCGAACGAGAGAGCGGCGGACAAAGGAGGGAGGAGCCGAGCACCTCGGGGGCTGGCGGGCTTTTAGGCGCTCGTAAATTCTGGTAACGCGAAAATTGGGGCCGACTTAACGAACTTATGTGGCTCTCTGGCTTGCGCGCGCGGGCGTGCTTTAACGGGCGAAACGAGGGAAAGACCGGCGTGCTCCTCACGGCGGAAAGCACATATTTCCTTCACTTGCGCCCCCTCCGATCCCCACCCCCATGTTTTTTCTTCCTTCCTTTCTTTCTCTCTTCTCCCCCCCCCCCAACATACGTATATGAACTCGGCGAGCCTTCCAGGCACGTGTGCATTTGGGTGGGACTCTCTTTCCCCCCATGCGAATGAAACGCGGCTTTCTTTCGTTTGACCTGGGTGTACATAAATGTGTCTATACCACTATTATTTATCATGCGCGCGTGTCTCTATGTTTCCTCGTACAAAATGAGTGGTTGGATGACGCTGGCTATATTATTATTTTTTCTTTTTTTTGGGGGGGAATTTTCCGATATTATTTTGTACTGGAATATCAATTCCATTGTAATTGACACCGTGAGTCATTGAAACAAGAATTCAATTAGTCTATTTTTATCATTGATGGTGGATTGTGGGGATTTTTATCTTTGATCCTGCACGTATGAAAGTTAGAGGATTTTTTGATACGGAGGGACATGAAAAAGTGTCCATGGAAATGGGATGAATTTTAGCAGAGGACTCCTGAATAGTCTATTGAAAATTAATTTGCCAGTGTTTCAAAGTCAGTTCGAGTCGATAAAATACTTTAAGTAGATCAGATGTATCAGGGAAAAAGTCTGTTGATTAAAAAAAAGCGACACACGTAGCTTTTAGTGGGAATGAAGCCTTTCATACACACACACCTTCGGAAGAAAGACTTCCTTCAAAAGTATTTCAAATCAAGTGATTCAAGCCTCGGAGAAGTCTTTTTTCAGCTGATCTCTGTGAGGTCATGTGAAACACCTTAGAAAAAAAAAGTAAGAATAACCTTCTTTACTTTTATCTAACTTCTAAAAAGGTATCCAGTTGTGCACGTTTAATAGAAGAAGCAAATGCAGATACTAATAATAGAGAATCGAGTAATCAGTGAAAAAAGCTCCCCTTTCCTCCTCCTTACATTTAAAGTCATTCAAAAACATTGCAGTCCTTACAAGATTTTGAGATTCATTCGAAGTTATCGGTAGTATTACGAAGTCATTGAATAATTTTTAGCCATTTAAAGATAATCGAGACTTTTGATGACTTCAAAGTTTGTCAGTAGCAACTGTCAAAGTCTTAAGAAGTTTTTCAAAGACTGGAAACAATTTGGAAATTTCATGGTGGACGTTTAAGTGTCTTGTCCTTGCACAGAACGGCTGTAGAAAATAAAGTTGACCCAACCCTCGGCAAAGGTTTTTTATAACGTCCTCAAGTTAACGATTGGTGCTAGAGACTCAAAATCAACTCAGAACGGGTAAAAGAGTATTTAGACTTCCTTAATGGCGTCGAGAAATTTTTCAGGGATCGAAAGTTCCAAAGCTCCCCCGAGATGTCCACACGACGCGTTAACAAAATTGCGCGATTTTCAGCACGTATCGAAGCCAAACACCGAGTACAAAAACCATTGCATCCCCTAAGGAGTCTTCAAAGTACTACCCCACGGCGTGTTCGCGGATTAGAGCCCTCATCCGGGACTTTGGGACTCGAAAGCCAAAAGCGCGCTTTTCCCGCACGTAAACTACGACGTTGCATCCGCAACAACCACCGCAACGGGCACCATCGAGTGAGGGTATGTGAGCAGCAACAAAGTCTCAAGGAGCCGCCGAAAGTTTCGCGTCTACGTGCACGACCATCAGCCATCAAGGAGAGCTTGCACCCAAAAGCTCGTATACACAGGCCACACGCTGTACCAAGTCACGCTCGCCGTCCACACAAATCCGTCATTGCTACAAGCTTTGGCGTACCGCGCGATCCGAGAATTAGCGGGTGCGTGTTTATTTAAGCGCTCGCGAACGAGGAAAGGAAAGGCATGAGAGAGAGAGAGAGAGAGCGTAAGCTCGAAATTGCTCGGGGTCAAAAGTGCTAGTCGAGCGAACCCCCGTACAACCAGTTATCCAAAAGTCGACACTGTGCAGCTGCTGCTGTTGGGAAAGGGGGGGTCGCGCACTCTTCTCGAGACTCTCGTCGCGATGCCGAAGCGACACTCGCACCTACACAACCGCATAGCTTGCGGGGGGGGGGGTGCTTAATCTTCTTACGAAACAACATTGGAGACTATACCCCACGTATATGCACCGTGTACGGAGGTGCTCGACGTGTATTACCATTGTTATCATACATACATACTCGTATATGTGCCATGTAGTACATTTGGCGGGGAGAAAGAGAAGATCGCGGGAATGACAAGTGGTGGCGAGGAAGAAGAGGAAGAGGAGGAGGACTGGGAAACGACGGCGATAAGGAGGCGGTCACAATTAACGGGCGAACGAGTGCCAGCGGCTCACAACTTGTTCATTACGCGAGTCGAGATTTTGAGTTGTGTCGGCGGGTATGGCTCCATAGGCGGCAATAAGTGCTCTTGTATCTCCCTCTCGTGTTTTGCTCGCGTTATCTCGCAGTGCGCACTCTCTGGAGCTATTTCGCTTCATTCGGCTCGTCTCTTTCTCACGCGCTCTTGGGGATTCACGCTCCTTCTGCCGCCGCGGCGCACGGTGTTCGGGTTATTAACGTTTTTCAACTTGTCCCCTTGAAATTAGTGCCGTTGTGGGTGTCGGGACTAATAAGAAGAAGAAGGATAAGAAGGGGCCGAGGAGGACGTCGCTTGAAACACTAATTGATCGCGTTCTTATTTCAATCTTTCGCTAATGATTTCGTTTTCGGCATAATTTCACGCGAGTCTCCTGTACTTTAATTTGATCCTCCGCGAGGACAGCTGTATACATTTACCAGTCTCTCTTGTTTGCACTCATAAATGTTGATTGTCCAACGTATAAGAGCTGACATGTATTTGTGGTTCTCTAAAAAGCCGTTTGAGAGGATTCCTTTACTGGGAGTGATAAATTCACATTTGACTTTGCAAAAGCTGCCCGTGAATGTGTTAGCCGGGACAAAAAACGTTCCTTCTCTATTTCATCGATGTTTCGCTATGCGAATTTCTTTTAAAGTTGGTCTTTATTTTTTAAGAATCTTCCTAGGAATCTTCTGTTTTGGAAGTAAAAATTTTGTGAAAATAAAGCGTTCATTAAGAAAAATAATCAATCAATCAGAAAGCTTCATCAGTAAATTTAAATAAATAAAAAAAACCTTAATCGGAGAATTTCATCAAAAGAAATATTATTAAACAATACCATCAGACCTTTGATACCAGGAATCATTTTTATTTAAAATCTCTACATTTTATGTCCTTTTACAACAATACTTAATGATAATGATGAGTGAACGCAAACTCATTCAATTTTTACGCACAAAAAAACACCCATTATATTTATAACATGGTTTGACAAAAAGTTTTGTGAGCTTACCTCAATTTAGAGATAACTTGAACTTAATTTTACTTACTGATTTACAGATTAATTTTGAATATATCACGTTCAGTTGATAAGCTAAAAAAAAAAATAATCGTTTAAAGTTTACAAGGTTGCGGGGTTCATCGTGATAACCGAAATATAAAAAAAAAATCTCATGAGATTAATGTTCGCTGTGTATGAGTAGATCATGCGTTATGAAACAAGGAGACGCGGCACTCATCGCAGCGAGAAGGATGCGGGGAATTCATTTGAACTGTAAGATGTTGGCGATGGGTAAAAGCTCGGGAGCACACGGAGCATCATTGGCTGTGGAGATTCTGAAAATGTGACTTTAAATGGCTGCGTTGAGCAAAATTATGTCGACATACACCACAACTGAAGGGCCTTTCACCAGTATGAGTCCGGTTGTGCACTTTGAGATATTGTTTCTGGCTGAATGATTTTGAACATATTGAGCAACTGTATGGCTTTTCTTGAGTATGGATACGCTCATGTTGTGTAAAACTTTGTTTTCGACTAAATAATTTGGAACATGTCGAGCACTTGTAGGGTTTTTCGTTAGTATGAATGCGCTCATGTTCCGTAAGATGATTTTTTTGACTAAATGATTTTGAACATGTGATGCAAATGAAGGGCTTTTCGTTAGTATGGATGCGCATGTGAACTGCAAGATTCGCCTTTTGAGTGAATGATTTGGAGCAGATTGAGCAACTGTACGGCTTCTCTTGAGTATGGATGCGCTCATGTACCGTAAGATGTTGTTTTCGACTAAACGATTTGGAACATATTGAGCAACTGTACGGCTTCTCTTGAGTATGGATGCGCTCATGTACCGTGAGATGTGGTTTTTGATTGAATGATTTTGAACATATTGAACAACTGTAGGGTTTTTCGTAAGAATGGGTGCGCTCATGTACTATAAGACTATTCTTCCTTGTGAAGGATTTTAAGCATATCAAGCAGGTGAAGGGACTGCCGCTGGTATGGGTGCGCTCATGGTATTTTAGATTGCTCGTGTACCTGAATGACTTTGAACATATTGAGCAACTATACGGCTTCTCTTGAGTATGGGTGCGGGCGTGTACTACAAGACTATCCTTCCGATTAAATGATTTCGAACAAACTGCGCACTTATAGGGTTTTTCGGAGGTGTGGGTACGTTCATGCACTTTTAAAATATTTTGAAGACTAAATGATTTTGAACAAATTGAGCAACTGTACGGCTTCTCTTGGGTATGGATACGCTCATGCACTCTGAGGTTGCTTCTCTGAATAAATGATTTTGAACATATTGCACACGTGTGGGGCTTCTCTTGGGTATGGATACGCTCATGCACTCTGAGATTGCATCTCTGAATAAATGATTTTAAACATATTGCACACGTGTGGGGCTTTTCTTGAGTATGGATACGCTCATGTATTCTGAGATGTTGTTTTTGACCAAATGATTTCGAACATATTGAACAGATGTAAGGCTTTTTCTGAGTATGGGTACGTTCGTGCGTTTTTAGGTGGTGTTTTTGACCAAATGATTTCGAACATATTGAACAGATGTAAGGCTTTTTGTGGTTATGAGTACTCTCGTACACTGTAACATGTTCTTTTTGACGAAATGATGCAAAACATGTTGTGCAGGTATGAGGCTCTTGTGTATGTAAGCTTTCGTGTTCTGTAAGATCTTCCTGCCGACCGCATGATTTAGAACATCTGGAGCATGGAAAAGGCTTTTCATTCACATGAATATGCTCATGGACTTTAAGATCATCGACTCGGTTGAAATTTTGAAAACAGATTCCGCAGCGAAAGGCTTGTTTTTGAGAGTTGGTACACCTGTGAGGTTCAAGCTTGATGGAACTGATAAACGTTTCTTGACATCTACTACAATGATATGCAATTACTGAAGAACTGCTACCAATCAAATTCTCATGGTTCAAGTTATGTTCGTGATCTCTAATCATTTTCGTTAACCGTTTGCGGGGAGGTAACATTACTAATGGTAATGAACAATTAGATTCGGCTGAGTCTTTCACGTAGTACGGCGTTGACATTGTTGCTTTCGTTTGTTTTGATCGTCGATGCAATGTCGATGGCTCCGTGGTTTGTAGATGAGGACAATTTATTGAAAAATTGTTTTTCTGTTGGCAGATAAAAAAAAAGCAATTATTAGTTATGGATACTATCAAAAATTTCAGCATACAGTTATTCACTTCGTTTTCATTGCTTGTAAGAAAGACTGTGATAAAATTTTTTTTTATTTCCTGCCAAAAGTTCTGAATTTTGTTTCTAATTTCAAGGAAAATGTGATTATCGTACAACCAGAAAATCACGTCTTATGAAGGACTATTGTTCTTTTGACAAGAAAAACTACTAATTAAAAATTGTAAAGTAGAATCTGTTAATTTCAATTTGTAATGATGAAACAGTAGATTCCCTAAATGTTGAATAAGGAACCAGCTTATCTGGAGATTTTCTTAAATTTAGTAGTAGTGCAGATAAATAGCAAAGCTGCAGATGTGCTATGATACTACACAAAATATCAATTTATTATCTCTTCTTAAGATTAATGTGGTAACTTATACTAAACGTCCATGTTCCAATTGCTTTTTAATTATAACAGGTATGTATATGACATGTAAATACCACGAATAACAGTGAATTAATAAATCTAGAGTATGGCTCTGTAACATTTTTAGTGTGAAGTACTTAAAGTAGGGGAGACTGGGTACAGTTGAGAATATCCTTACTTTGTAACCAATAACCTTTTAGTTAGTATAACAGATATCTGTAAGAAAAATATTCCATAATGAATGGTAATTTTGTTTACGTGTAAATACAAAAAATTTGTCCATAAGTACACTCGTTGAGTCATAGAAGCAAATAAAAAAAAATTTCCGTCACAACTGACCACACCCTAGGGACAGTTGTGGCAGTGCTAGGAATCAGCAGTGACGGGATGAAAACTACACTAATATGGTCTAAGATCACTTTTGCTGCAACAAGCATCTAATATAATGCAAAATAATATTATATTGGAAAAAAACACAAACGGAACAAAACACCCACTAACCGCTGATAACCAATAAGGAACTGTACAATTTATAGTTGTACGCTTTTATATTGCAATCAGTCAAAAAAGTTAATCAAACATTTCCATTCATACGTTCTACTAATTATAACAAAAAAACAACAGAAAAACTAAACAAATATTTCATAAAGTTATATTAAAATACTAACATGCAAAGCTACCGTATGTCACGTAAGTCGTATCTAACGCATTCTTTTGTAACAAAAATGGACAAAAAAATACATCACTTGCTTACACATACCCACGGCTATTAACAATACTAATGGTGAACTTAGAAAAAACACTCATTGTTCTATCTATAGAAGTATGACTACAATTATAAATAAAAATTTTAGGAAAATTTACACCTACTTTTCACTGTTCAAAAGTAATGTCGACTTCTACTATAGTTAATGTCACTCGATGGCTAACTAAATCTAGTGACGTACCTTGAAAAGAGCATATCACATCTCCCTTACCTATCTGCCTCTTGTTATTCTTCATAGGTTCGCGAAAATGACAACTGTCACTACAGTACCCGACATAATCATACCCAGTCTCTCCTGCTTGTATTGTAAAGTTTAAATTGCTTAAACATAAACTTACCTATATTATTTTCAATCTAATATTTTTTAATTGATTTTATTCCTTTATCCAGCTAATCGTTTCGTATGCACATTTGACTATGTAATTGTGCTTTCAGTTGTATGTTTGATACCAGACGATGCCACGTGTTCTAATTCAATCTCGAGTTTGTTTCTGAATTTCCGTTAGTCTGTTTAACTTGAAAGAGTATATTTTCACATGTTTATTTGTTCACACTACCTATCACGAGCTACTTTGTAGAAATTTTGATGTGGTATTCTCGAGTTACACTTGTGAAAAATTCAAAAGAGAGCCTTAACTAGACCATTAAGAGCTACAAAGCAAATGCTTTCCTAATAAAGTATATTAAAATACCTACCTACGAAGCCTACGTCCACGATAAGCGAAGCATTTTTAATGGCATAATGATGGACTTGAGCGGCGCATGCCCAGTCAAATGGCTCTCAAGTTTTACTTTCTGGCTGTAATAACGTGAGTGAAGTTGGTACAAAAAAAAAAAAAAAAAAAAAAAAAAAAAAAAAAAAAAAAAAAAAAAAAAAAAA